TCCTAACTGGAGGCATCTTTCCTTTCTTCTGAGTGGGAAGAAGTGAGAGAGTCACATCCGTGTTAGAAAGAGCACAATCCAATTTCAGCTCTGTGATGTGATCTAGGATCTTTGAAAGAGATATGAAGCTATGAGGGTTCGAAAGAGTCACGTGGTGTTGAGGGAAGAAGTTTATGCCGAAGGAGATAGGTGAGAGGGGAGGAAGGGAAGTGAGAGTAGGAAAACAAAGAAAAGAGATGTGTGTGGGTGGGGTGGCTAAGGTGAAATGAGACGACTGAAAATTTGCAACTCAGGGGAAGGCCTTTGGGAGATGTTTGTTGTGTGGCCTAGTGAATGTGTTGCTGTTGTTACAACCTGTTGCGATGAGCCCATGGTCAGGTGCAAAGTGGATATGATGGGTTGTAGCAATGGCAACTGCTTTGTTTTCCGAAGCTAGTATCTCTTCTGAGCTTACATGCAAAGAAGTCGGAAGTGAAACTTTTCATTCTTTAATCGTAGATGGCTGTGTTTGTCTATATGGATGTCTACGTCTATGCTGATGAGGCTGGTATATGAGATAGGAAGCTTGGTAGACAGATCACTAGGTGGGATCTCAGAACATGAAACCATTCTTCGCTGGAGGAAGTGAAACGGGCAGAAGACTCTGCATCCAAATCACTTCAGCCAAATGCTATAATCTAAGCAACTCGTAGAAGGGGGAAAATGATACGCGTGGCGCTGAGCATGTCTGCAACCATTCTGGTTTTCGTCTCAGAGTGATACGTGCAGTAAAAACAACGCATCCTCAAAACACGGAGGATTTGGCAGTGACTATGGAATAATATTTTCCTCTGGAACCCTGCTCAAGCTACATGTACTCCAATCTAGCCTTCTAATCTTATTCCCCAAGGGGATCATCCCCTCTCACCCAGACTAATATCTCTGTAATAGATGCATGAATGCTCAAGCTCTCTCAGCGGAGAAAGGAGGCGCCATTCGGTCTGTTCTTCGCACTTGAATCTGAACCTTATGCTTCTTTGCAGTTGGTCTTGAAAGGGCAGATGGGCCTTGCTTAGGCGGTGATTCATGAGATGTTGATTCTCATTGCAGGATGATGGCTCTACCGTTGACGTCGATCTTCTAGTATTCGTTGGAGAAGATAGTAATTACCTTGGGCTGGGGAATGATATTGCGATTGGTTGTTTGGAGTGGTTTAGCTGACTCTTTTGGGTCTTGTGGTTGTCTTGTGGAGACATCCGTGAGACCAGTGGTTCTCTGGCTGTTGGTCTTTTGAGAATGTGTTGAAGTAAAGAGGATTTGTGAAGAGGGTGGGTGGGTGCATTGATTTTTGGCTTTGGGGATGGAGCGGACTCTGGCGGGGTTTGGGGGGGGGGGGGCTTGATGAATGGGTGGATTTGCTCTGTTGAAGGCGAGGAAGGGGGAAACTTGTTGTATACCTTGAATTTTGAAGGTGTTTCGAGGCTTGAGGTATACTGCCGTGAGGTTATGATGGGTTTAATAGAACTTTGCTTGTTCGAGGAAAGGTATAGGACGGGTGTTATGTACGGTCTCGTGGGTTTAGTATAATTTTTCTGGATGGTGTTGCTGGATACTGATTTATTTCTGAGGTGGGCTTCTATCTTGAGGTTGGTGATTTGGGGATAGGTGTAAAGCACTCGCGCTCAGTCCTGTACAAGTGAGCAGAGTGCTCGTCTCTAGCTACTGCGGCAAGTCTACAATGTGTCTGTGTCTGTGTCTGTGTCTACTGACCACCCGGTAAGAAAAACAATTCAACGTTTGGGATATCTGCCACAACTCGCTTGATGAAAAATAGGTAGTGTCTGCAAGGCAAGAAGTGATATGTAAAGTACAGATTGAACCCTCCCAAAAACAGGACCCCCCCCCATAAGGACGAGAGAAAAAGACACTCCATTTGCGCCATTCCGGTTTGTTGCCAACTCTTCGAAGCGAAAACACAAAGCGAACTAAGACTATGCTGCTGCTGCTGCTGTTGCTGCCGATTTCACTGTTTTCGCTGGTATTAGTTGGTTGTAGAGCTGGAAAGATCAAAAGGAAAGGAGACTAACACGCTTTCTGAAGAAACAAAGAACTGTACCACCGATGCCGCCTGAAATTTGAAGAGCGAGAACAAAGAAAAGAAAAGGACAGGATTTGGTCATCATCGTCATCATCAACGCATCCCACCCTGCATCAACTGCTGACGCAGGAGCAGGATCTGGCTGCGTTCCATCGGGGGCAGCGCATCGATCGCGGCCTGCGGCATGCTCAGGACTTGCTGCAGCAGCTCTTCCTGACCGGGAATGGCTTGCGGGGCTGCCTGTTGCGGCGCCGCCTGCGGAGGCTGCTGCTGTCCGAACGGCGCGGAGACCATCGGCGGGGTCGACACTTGGCCGGGGAAGTTCTGGAAAGCTTGCGCGGCGGCGGCGGCGGCGGCGGCGGCCGGGGGAGGTGGTGGTGCAGCCGCGGCGGTCTGCACGGCAGCCTGTTCTACGACCGTGCCGAGGGCGCTGTAATCGACCAGGTTCATGAGGAGCAAGGCCTGGAAGATGGCGTAGGCGAGCTGGGGCGCCTGGCGGAGGAGCTCCGTGGCGCGGGCGGGATCGGCCATGACCAGGGACTTCATCTGCTGGAGGACATCGAGGAGCTGGTTGGGAGGGAGGGAGGCGAGCGTCTGCGAGATGGCGTTGGGGCAATCCAGGTGCGGCGGCACCTCCACGCCGGGAGGCAGAGGAGGCAGCGGCGCATGCGCGGGCTGCGCGCCGCCTGCTCCCCCGGCGCCGCCAAGGCCCAGGCCGTCTTGTTGTCCCGCCGCAGCGCCCGCGGGGCCATTGTTCTGGTGGAGGTACTCGGGCGGCACGGAGTCCTTCTCGTTGTTATGGGGCCAGTCGACGCGGATCTTGCGACCCATGACCTCGTAGTCGTTCAGGTTGCGCACCGCAGAGGCCGCGGAGTCGGCGTCGGCGTAGTCGGCGAATCCATAACCCTTCGGTTTGCCGGTTTCCTGGTTGATCATAAGACGGAACTTCGTGACGGTGCCGGCGGTACCGAGGATATCCCTGATTTGTTCCTCGGTGAGGTCTGGAGAGGTTGTGAAAGGTGTTCAGGTCAGCAGATATTCGACGGGGACAATGGACTGGGTATGAGGGAGGAAACTGCTGGCATTTGTGTCTTCGGTGACATGGTGGAGGGGGCAGAGCACATACTGTAGGGGATATTTCCCAGAAAGATACTCGTCCCGTTATTTCTTTGCGGGGCCATGATTGCGGTGTTTAGTGAAGCTCTTGACGGCCAGTCGAACAGAGGGTAAAAGCGTGAAACAATGGAAAGCGGGAATGATGATGTTGTACGGAAAACTGCCAAGGCGGTGTCAGAATCGGGCGATTTGCCGCGAACTTCCACTTCCCTCCATCCTGCCTCTTTCCCCGTTGGCTTCTCTTTTCCCCTCCGCTTCGCTCATACCACCATATTCATCCTCATCTTTTCATCTTTCACCATGTCTCAGAATCCTAGGGAGCAGTGGGAGAGACTTCAGGTCCTCCTGCAGAACCGCGGCGGTCCTCACCTCAAGCGATTCGGCGGCGGCGGTGGTGGACGCGGCTTCGGAGCTGCAGGCGCCCTGCTTGTCGGTGTTGGAGCTATCTTCCTGGCCTCTGACTGTCTGTTCAACGGTGAGAAGGCCTGCAATTCAACCGGGTAGCCTTGTGGAAGCTGTTTTAAGCTAACGGGATGGGTGTTCTAGTCGACGGTGGTCACCGTGCTATTAAGTATTCCCGCTTTGGTGGTGTGCAGAAGGAGATCTACACTGAAGGTGCGTCTATTTCTTGAAGCTACTCTCCCGGTTGCATCCGCTGATAGGACTCGTTCCAACTAGGAACTCACTTCCGGATCCCCTGGGTCGAGACTCCGATTGTCTATGACGTGCGCGCAAAGCCGCGCAACATTGCTTCCCTCACCGGTACCAAGGACTTGCAGATGGTGAACATCACCTGCCGTGTCCTGTCCAGACCCCGCGTGGATGCCCTTCCTCAAATATACCGTACTCTCGGCCAAGACTTCGATGAGCGGGTGCTGCCGTCCATCGTCAACGAGGTTTTGAAGAGTGTGGTGGCCCAGTTCAACGCCAGTCAGCTTATCACTCAGCGTGAGAACGTTGCCCGTCTTGTCCGGGATAATCTTGCCCGTCGGGCTGCTCGCTTCAACATCGCCCTGGACGATGTCTCTCTAACGGTACGTCATATGCCATTGTTACATTAACAGTTCTCCCACTAATGCTTTTCTCTACTGCAGCACCTTACCTTCTCCCCCGAATTCACCGCCGCCGTCGAGGCCAAGCAAGTTGCCCAGCAGGAAGCTCAGCGGGCTGCGTTCCTGGTTGACAAGGCTCGTCAAGAGAAGCAAGCTTTCATTGTCCGCGCTCAGGGTGAAGCCCGCTCCGCTGAGCTGATCGGTGATGCCATCAAGAAGAGCAAGAGTTACATTGAGCTGCGTAAGATCGAGAACGCCCGGCACATCGCTCAGATCCTGGGTGAGCACAGCGGCAAGAACAAATTGTACCTGGATTCGCAGGGTCTGGGTCTGAACGTGAATGCAGGAGGGGAGGATAAGCAGTAAGAGCCAGTGATGCATGGGCCGGTGGTAGGCGATCAGTCGGATTTGTTTGACTCTAATGGGTTTATTCCTTATAACGAGGGCCTTGGCGCTATTCTAGGTTGCGCTCGGCCAAGGAGATGGAGGGGGGACGTTTTTTGTACAAATAGTCAGTTATTTGCAGGATTCTCAGAGCAACCAGGCGAACAGTTTCTCTTCTCTTTTCATTGTGTTCCGCATGGACTACTGTGTAGGTCTAACCTGACTTTTCGCCTCTGAAAAAAAAGCCTTTGAGTAGCGGTTCTTATTGACTCGTGCCCGCGGCGGGATCGTCAGCGGGGAACGAAAGCGGCGGGCGGATTTTTTTTTCAGATCGCAGCTTGAAACTTTTCTCCTCATTAATATCTCTTCCCCGCAACAGCAGAGGTCTATCTACAGCCATAGACCTCAAGACATTGACTTGCTTCAATTAAAAGTCTCCTCCTCTGGCAAGTTACAAGAAAGTAAGCTCTTTCCCTTCGCAGAACCATGCGCCCCAAGGCTATCGCATCCAACCCCATTTCCGCTCGACAATACTATAACTACCTCGCCCAAAATCCTTTCCCCTCCCCTCTTCTTATCGAAACCACCCAACTTATCAGCACACTCACAAATCCCAACCAGAACATCCACCCGGGGAACACAGAGCAAACAAAATGGACCCCACGCCCGACCTCGACCTCGCCATCAACGTCGACACCGACATCCAAGAGCTGCTGCTGGCCGCCTCGCAGCACGACCTGCCACAACTCCGCCGCCTCATCCGCACCAACCCATCCCCGGCCCTCGCCAACCCGGTCAACGCCCGCGACCCGGAGACGGGGCTCACGCCGCTCCACTCCGCCGTGGCCGCCTGCGAGCCGGACGACGACGACGACAATGCAGAGCAGCAGCCTGCTGTGAACGGAGCGGCGGACAACAGCAATGCCACCCCCAGCGCAGAGGTAGAGCAGGCCGCGCTGGAGACGGTGCGGTTTCTGCTGCTCGAGGGCGCGATCTGGAATGATTTGGATAACAACGGGGAGACGCCGGGGTGTATTGCGCGGCGGTTGGGGCTGCGCGAGGTGTATGAGGCGCTTGTGGATGCGGGGGTGCGGGCGGAGTTGTTGCTGGGGCGGTTGGATGGGTTTGGGTATGAGGCTTTGGATGATGGGGATGATGAGGATGATGAGGATGAGGAAATGCAGGAGGAGGAGGAGGAGCAGGAAGAGCAGGAAGGTGTACCGGAGTTGGTCGATGCCAGCGCTGCTACCACCACCACCACCACCACTACCACTACCACCGAAGAACCCACCACCAACCCAGACGTCACGCAATCCCGCTACCTCGACTCCGGGCTGACCTTCCAACACGACCGCCTCCTCGACCAGGACCAAAACGGCGTGATGATGGCCTGGGAGACGGAGATCATGCGCAAATCCGCCGCGGCGCTGCTGCCGGCGCCGGGCCTGCGGGTGCTCAACATTGGCCACGGGATGGGGATCGTCGACGGGTTCTTCCAGGACCAAAGCCCCGCGGCGCACCACATCGTCGAGGCGCACCCGGAGGTCGTGGCGGAAATGAAGCGCAAGGGCTGGCACGAGCGGCCCGGGGTCGTGATCCACGAGGGCCGCTGGCAGGAGATCCTGCCGGCGCTGGTGGCCGAGGGCGAGATGTTCGACGCCATCTACTACGATACCTTCGCCGAGTCGTACGGGGATTTCCGCGAGTTCTTCACGGAGCAGGTCATCGGGTTGCTGGAGCAGGAGGGCAAGTGGAGCTTCTTCAATGGGATGGGCGCCGATCGCCAGATCAGTTATGATGTCTATCAGAAGGTGGTCGAGATTGATCTGCTCGAGGCCGGGTTCGATGCCGACTGGGAGGAGTTCGAGGTGCCGACGCTGGAGGGCGAGTGGAGTGGGGTGCGCAGGCCGTACTGGGCTATTGAGAAGTACCGTCTGCCATTGTGCAGATATATGGACTAGATTAGCAGTACACATCTACGTATAGGAATGAATTGTCCTGATGACCCACTTTCTACACATGCAATCATTCCGTTTGTTCTTCACAACTAGGCGGTGTATTTCAAGCTCAGATTAAAAGTCGTACAGGCAGGGATCTAACTATATACAAGATGAGCATGCTCCTGTATGGTGCACTTGCTTCGAGCTTGCGGCGGGAAAATGCTGCCAAGACTCCCAGTGATGCATATGGCCCAAATGAGAAAACGAGAAAGAAAAAGCGCGAGGAAAAACAGAACGCTGAAGGGCATGAAAGCAAAAGATTCATCGCGTCATAAGACCAACCGTTCCTGACGGTCATCATCTATAGCTGAATGAGGTCAACCTCAGAGAAGTCGGGCGGACTGCGGCTGAAGATTGTGTGGCTCTTGCCATCCAGTGCTTGGTACTCGTTACTGATCCAGATATGTTTGCTGAATCGCTGGGTCCGATAAATCTCATCATCACTAACGCCCAGGTCGTCTCGAGGAATCCAGATCACGGGTCGCTTCGCGCGTAAAGCTTCGTGCTGGAAGGCTCGTTGAGTGAGCTGGTCGCGCTCCTCCGGTGTAAGATCCTCTAACTCGTCGTGAATGCCGGAGAACAAGGCTGGGCCCATGTTGCGCGCGGGAGGAGCTTGGTTTTCGGCGTCGAGAGCGATCTTCTCCCGCAACCGCTCAATGCTAGGAACCGCCATCTCCGAGTTGACGCCGTAGAACTTGGATCGGCGGTCCGGAGAGCGATCAGCCCACGACCCACGATGCGGTCCAAGTTTGGGTTTCTGGATGTGTAGACCGTGGTGTTTGTGGTCTCTTTCGGGAGACGAGTCGAGATTCTTCAATTCGATGTTCTGAGAACTCGCTTCCCGTTGTCGTTGCGCCTCTTCTTGATCGCCTAACGGATGATCGACGGCATCTGGCAGATGATCATAATCTTCATCCTCGTGTAAACCCAATCGTGCCCTTTGAGCCCGCGCAAATTCTTCATCACGACGCACGGCATCATCCTCCAAAGTGATAGGCAGATAACGGATCAGAGGGCCAAAAGCATCACTTAGAAGAAGCTGAAACCCTACGGTGAGAATCAAAACCACAATCATGACGATCGCTTGACCTTCGCATGCGACATCCCCATTCTCGTCGCGAACCAAGAAGAACAAGCCAATAAGAGCAAGCTCCATAATGTACAGACCGGTGAACAACTGGCTAACTGCCCGCGGGAAAAGCAGACCTCCCGTGTCGAAGCGGAACTTGGTCACGTAGAGAGTATTGTATCTGTAGACAAACCAGAAAAGACCGAATGTGATAACATTGAAGACCAGAATGAGGGGCGCAACGACACAGTAAATCAAGCCTGCGAGACCATCTGTTAGTAAGTGGCTAGCCTTAGCACAAGCTGAGACAAACATACCGATTGAAGCAAGGGTAGTGTAAACGGGGAAGAAAGTGCCCCATTGCATCTGATTCAGGTTGGTTGTACGCGCCCACTTCTTTCTGGCTGTCTTATCGAAAATCGGCGCGAGAATGAACCAGCTTATCAGATTGACGATCTGAACCAATGCTCCCGCACTCACAGACATGGCCTGTAGAATCATGTATGAGAAGAAGTAGTTACTGGACGAGGGAATGTTCTGTGCTAGAAGTTCTGGCCAGCTGGTGACATCGGTGACGTTACTGATGATAGTCGAGAAACTGGACGAAATAGTGACGACCAGGAACAGTTGCACAAATAAGAACGCAAAGTAATAGGCCTGGACCGTTAGTTCGACCGCCATACCAGTGTGAAGACCTTGGGTCCGACTGAGAAAGCGTAGGATAAGAGGCAAGATTGCCATGAGAATTGCAAGAAAGAGTGCAGGTAAGACACCCTGTACTGCCGAGATGACCCAAGCTGGTAACTTGGAAATCCAGGACAGCCAAGTAAAAGCTTCTTCGAGGTATGTTAGCTGCGAGAGAAGACCCGTGAAGGCAACGGGAATTGCCCATCCTACAACCATGGCGCAAACCAGAGTGATAATTCCGAATGTCCTCAGATACCGTTCCCACCATTTCATTGACATGTTATCCCAGATGACATCGTCCGGCGAAATCTCAACAATGCGAGGCGCCATTTGCTTGGGAACATGGTGGCTGACGGCCTGACATGCCATATGAGCCGCCACCTGGTGATTGAACTGGATGAAGGCGGAGTTCATGAGAGGGAATCGCTCGGGATGCTGCTGGTCAATCTCAATCTCCAAATTCAGCCGAGCCAGCTCTTTGCGGCAGTAGTCAATAGTGTCGACCTTTTTGCCTATAAGCCACAGAGATGGCATCCAGCTGAAGATTGGCAGCCGCATGGTCGGGCGCTTCTTTTCTTGAATGTATTTTTTCCAAACTGGCTCTCCAAAGTCTTCGTTATCATAGCCCTCATTGTAAGCCAGTGGATATTCATGTCCCTCCACTTCATCCCCCTCTTTTCCATGAGGAACTGAATCTTCGGTACGTTTCTCCTTCAACGACTGGCTTCTGTCGGACTCAGAGCTCGATGCCCGCTCAACAGGCGACTCGGGGGCTGTTAACGGAAGTTCATCGGGCTCAGAAGTGTTGCTCCTCTTGCTAAATTTAGAGTTGCCGGAGCCCCGACTTTTCCAGACTGGCCGCTTCGGATGAGAAGAGGTTCCGGGCCTCGATGGCTCGGGCCTAGAGGCTTCGGGCCTGATCTCCGCTACATCCGCCTCGTTCTCGTGGAGTGTTTCAGGTTTGTCATGAATATCTCCTGACCAAGACAAGGGGTCCTCACGGCTGGCATGGCTGGCAGGTGGAGCAACGTGGCCATTGTAAGCAGCACCGCTGCTCTCAGGTACGAACCCTCCAGTTCGAGTCAACTTATCGTCAATACCATGCTCCCATTTTCGGAAACCTCCCAGAACAGACTTTCCCAGTTTTTCCACGCCTTGGCCAACAGCACCTGCTGCTTCTAGCGCGGGATCCAAGGGGTTGAAGAGCAGTTTCTTCTTCCTAGGCTCCTCTTGAATACTCTCTCCTGTATTGCGATGTAGGATCTGATCCAACGTGTGGGCTTGATGCGGGTTTCCGGAGCTAATGCCAGCGTCCATGGCTAACTGCGATGCCTTCCTCTCAGCGGCCTTTCTTTCTTGAGTCTCCACTGAGTTTGGGTCAAGCCCGGCCTTTTTCGCGGCAGCCTTGGTTTGTTTGAGCTGGGCCTTCTTGCATTTCATGATCAACTCGGTTTCTGCAGCCTCGAGCTTCAAGGCCAGCTTGTCTCGCTCCTTCACCTTTTCGTGCAGATCGTCGAAATTGCGGTTGATCCAAATGTTCCGAATGCCCCCTGGGAAGACATCATATAGTTGTTCTAGCGCTCTCACCGAGAGCCAGCCTTCTGGAATGGCAGTCACCAGAACAGTGGTGGCAGAAGCACGAAGTCGATGCTGGGGTGAAGTTAGGTACGCCTGTCGAAGACGAATGTAGTGTCTCAGCTCGTCGAAGAAGACTGCGCAGACATAGAAAATGACGATAACCGCCATGACTAAATGTGCCCAGTATCGCGATGTATGCTCGGGGGTCACATTACCCCACGCTAATTGATCCAGTCCAGTGACATTCCACCGACCGCCGCCTTCGTCGGTTCCATTCTTGAAGTTCGTATCTTTACCGCCGACTTTGTTTAGCGGAATCAGGACGGGTAGTAAAAGACAGCCCAAGGGCAGAAAGATCTTTAGTAGCATGCGCAGGTATCGTAGGAAGAAGTAGGCATCCAGGCCGCACTTCTGTATGAATTCTGAACTTGAGGTGCGAAAGACAGGACCGATCCATCGGAAAAGTCCTGGTGGGGAAGGTTGAGTACGTTCTCTGTCAGGTACCAAGTATGTTCTCGGTTGGCTAAGAGAGTTCGCATGTTAGCACGTCGGCTCTCTGGAACGGATTTGAGCATACATACTAGATGCGGGTCAGCTTCCCTTTGAGAAGCATGAAGAGGAGAAATTCAATTGCGAAGACGACGAGGGCAGTGGCAAGGGATGCGAGAAAAGTCCCGATCGAAATGCCTTCCTTGTTCTTGCCTGTGCCGCCCGCATGCTCCAGCGCCGACCCCAAATCGCCCATGGTTGAAGCAAGCGACGATCGCCTCCACAGAGGTCAGTTGATGTTGGTAGATTTAAACGTTGTCACGAGCAGGGGAAAGATGAGAAGATAAAAGTTGTAAATAATCAGGCGAGGTTGACATGCAACAGTTGCACATCATGTAGCTCAAGTGGTGGATTGTCAAGCAGGAAGAGTTCAACGTCACCGCAGCGAAGTTAAGATGCCATTACACGGCGGTAGTCAGAGACCAATCAGCGCAGGAGGGGCGATCTAGAGAACAGCGAGTCAATGAGAGTGAAGGAGGTGAAAGAAAGCCTGTTCGGTTAAGTGTGGTGGTACCAGCGGTTTTCGAGATCCGGGGGGTGATCTAATAAAAGGGTAGCATTAAGGGTGAAAAAAGAATCAATAATAAGAAAGAAAAACGTGTTACAGGTGCAGGCATGACAACAGTGGCACCCACCACCACCCCATTGTCCATTCAGGTGTTGATCCAGGGCCCCAGATGAACAGGGAAGATGCGCCACTGGTAAAGAGAAGGGGAAATGCCGCTGGATTGGTGGGAAGTGGAAGAGGGGGTGGGAGGGAGATTGCGGGCCACAGAAGATCGCACCTTGAAATGACATCAAGCGCCTGCTGAAACTGGCTGGCGCCTGGCTGGTTGCTCCACCACGTCACAGTTCGCTTGCAGAGAGAGTGCTTACCAGCGTGTTGCTTGCATTGAACCATATTCCTGAATATTGTTGCAGGCGCGTAGTCGACATAGAGCAGCCGGAGACGAAAATAGCAGGCGAACAATTATACAGACTTCGTGCACAATGAAAAGACTCGATGTAGGGCCATTGTTCATTGATTCAAGCTGTGTTGATGTTTACCTCAAAGGGAAGTGTCTTTATCCCGCCAGGGCGACCCAGAGAAGGGACTCAGGCTCAGGCTACTAAATCCCTGACCTTACCGCAAACAGCAAGGGGCTACATGATTGACGAAAATGATGGGGCTAGTGTGGCGGTGCACTTCAGCCCTAATTCTTCAGGGGCACCAGCCACCGTGACTAAGGTCATGTGGCTTATCCGGGCTCTTGCGGCGCGCAGGCTCAAAGAAGAAACCTCTTTACGCGGTGGTCGCGTCGAAGCGCGTCCGCCTACCTCCAAGAGAGTGGATTGATTGATTGAAATCATTTTCTCCTTCCGCAAAAGGCCCACCTGGAAATTGTTACTGACTCTGCCGTAGCAACCAACTTCCCTCCTCCACTATCCTGTTTTGCACTTGTCTCCATTTTGTCCACACTTCCCCTCCCGACTGTCAGTCCTTTCATTGATAAAAATACCAACTTCACAGGACCAGACATCAACATGTCTTCTCCAGCGCCTAATCGTCGCAGAGGTCGCTCGGCCAGAGATTCGACCATCTCCTCTCCTGCCCGCTCAACCCGCTCAACCCGATCCCAACAACAACCTCAGACCAGCAGCCCTCCTCCCAGAGATGATCAGTCGCAGACAACTCCCCGTGCCTCGAGGCGGTTACGGGGTGACGGCCCCGTTCCATCATCATCGCCGATGTTCTTCCAATCATCCCCGATGAAGGCAAACAGCAGCTCAGAGACGCCCAATTTCGGTATGGAAGAGCCTAGCTCACCTGTCCGGGCATCTTCGACAATGGAGGATGTCGAAACCACGCCTCGGGGAAACGCTGCTGCTATCAGAGGTACTACTTGTTGCCATCTATTCTAGGCGTCCTGCGGCTTGCTCACAATTAAACCAGATTCATCTCCCATCCGTTACGTCTCTAGCTCCAGCCCGACCCGTTCTCTCGGTCGTCGGGCAGAGCGGTCGGATTTCCCTAGCAGCAGCAGCGGTCTTTTCGTATCTTCTAGATCAGTCACAGATGGCAATCGTGGAGTCTCTCGTCGCAATGACCTTCATTCGGGCGGCTTTGGTTCGACCCCAAGTCGCCGCCGCAGAATCTTCGTCGACGCCAATGGTGTGCCCACCGCCGATGCTGAGCCGCGCTCCGATGCGACCTTCTCCAACATTCACCCAGACACCTCCGAGGCGGAGGCTCTCGGTGGCAGCTCCACTCGTGTAATTTGGGGAACCAACATTTCCATCCAAGACTCGATGTCCGCCTTCAAGAACTTCATTTACAACTTCGCTACGAAATATCGTCTCTGGGCGGAAGGTGCATCTGAGAACGAAACTCGGACGATGGGCAATGCTGCTGAAGAGAGGGAGTACATCACCATGCTGAACACAATGCGTCAACTCGGTGTCACCAACCTCAACTTGGACGTCAAGAATCTCAAAGCATACCCCTCAACGCTCAAGCTATGGCACCAATTGCACGCATATCCGCAGGAAATTATTCCTCTGATGGATCAAACTGTCAAGGATGTCATGGTTGAGCTTGCAGGCAAGGAGATGCAGCGCCAACGGAGTAACAGCCGGCACCGCCAGAATCAGTCAAGGGATTTGAGCTCCGCACCTGCGGTTCCCAGCTCCGATGCGCTCATGAGTGATGCTGGCCGGCCCCCACAGGCCGAAATCCAAGACCTCGTCCAGGAAGTTGAATCGAACTCGTATAAGGTTATGCCTTTTGGCCTTGACTCTGCAGTGAACATGAGAGATCTTGACCCTGCTGGTATGTGCAGTTCGTCTTTTCGGCACTGTGCTCCCCTATACTGACATCACGCAGACATGGATAAATTGATTAGCATCAAGGGTCTGGTCATCAGAACCACTCCTATCATCCCAGACATGAAAGAGGGTAAGCCGCTTCCCGTACGTTGGTCGTACCAAAGCTTCTAATATATCTCCCTAGCTTTCTTCCGCTGTCAGATTTGCAACCACAGCGTTCAGGTCGATATCGATCGTGGCAGGATTGCAGAGCCCGCCGAATGTCCCCGCCCTATTTGCAAGGCCAAGAACTCGATGCAGCTTATCCACAACCGCTGTGCCTTTGCCGACAAGCAGGTGATCAAACTCCAAGAAACTCCCGACAGTATTCCTGATGGACAAACGCCCCACTCTGTTTCCTTGTGCGTGTACGACGAGCTGGTCGATGTCTGCAAAGCTGGTGATCGTGTTGAGGTTACTGGTATCTTCCGATGCAATCCTGTGCGCGTAAACCCTCGCCAGCGGACCCAGAAGACTCTTTTCAAGACTTATGTGGACGTCTTGCACGTGCAGAAAATTGATCGCAAGAAGCTGGGTATTGATGCTTCCACTGTCGAACAAGAGCTTTCGGAACAAGCTGCTGGGGACTCTGAGCAGGTACGCAAGATCACAGCTGAAGAGGAGGAGAAGATCAAGCGAACTGCCACCCGGCCCGACATCTATGAGCTGCTGTCACGCTCCCTGGCACCTAGTGTTTACGAAATGGATGATGTTAAGAAGGGCATCCTGCTCCAGATGTTTGGAGGCACCAACAAAACTTTCGAAAAAGGAGGTAACCCACGCTATCGTGGCGACATCAATGTCTTGCTCTGCGGTGATCCCTCCACTTCCAAATCACAGCTTCTTCGTTATGTTCACAAGATCGCCCCACGCGGTGTCTATACCAGCGGCAAAGGTTCCTCGGCTGTCGGTCTTACAGCTTATGTGACTCGTGATCCCGAGACTCGCCAGATGGTTCTTGAGTCTGGTGCTTTGGTTCTCTCTGACGGCGGTATTTGCTGCATCGACGAGTTTGATAAGATGAACGAATCGACGCGGTCAGTTCTGCACGAAGTCATGGAGCAGCAAACCGTCTCAGTTGCCAAGGCTGGTATCATTACCACCCTCAATGCTCGTACCAGTATTCTGGCTTCGGCCAACCCGATCGGCAGTCGCTATAATCCCAATCTCCCCGTTCCCCAGAACATTGACTTGCCCCCTACGCTCCTTTCTAGATTTGACCTGGTGTATCTTGTTCTGGATCGGACTGATGAGCAGGAAGACCGCAGGCTGGCTAAGCACTTGGTCAACATGTACCTGGAAGACAAGCCGGAGAATGCAAGCAACGAAGAAATCTTGGTAAGTTGGAGTCCACTTCTTCATTGGGTATTATTACTAACAATGCAACTCGCAGCCGGTTGAATTCCTGACGGCCTACATCACCTACGCCAAAACTCGGGTGCACCCAGTGCTCACCCCAGCAGCGGGCAAAGCGCTCTCCGACGCCTATGTCAACATGCGCAAATTGGGTGACGACATTCGGTCGGCAGACCGCCGTATCACAGCCACCACCCGTCAACTCGAATCGATGATTCGTCTCTCCGAGGCTCACGCACGTATGCGCTTGGCAACTGAAGTCACGGCGGACGATGTGGAGGAAGCGGTGCGTTTGATCCGGTCGGCCATCAAGCAAGCCGCGACGGACGCCCGTACCGGTCTCATTGACATGGGTCTGCTGACCGAAGGTACCAGCGCCAGTGAGCGGCGCAATCGCGAGGCGATCAAGCGTGGCGTGCTCGCCGTGGTCGATGAGCTGGCCGGATCCACCGGCGGCGCCCGCTGGGCCGAGGTCTACCGTGTTCTGAACGAGCAGAGCAGTGCCGGCGTGGATAACGCCCAATTCAACGATGCTGTTCGTGCATTGGAGACGGAGGGCGCGGTCAATATCCTGGGTGATGGTCCGCGACGCAGTATCCGACGCGCCGCCGGAGCTCTGCCCTGAGCGCCATACAAGGGCGACTAGTTGATGAGAAACATGATGCAACGGACTAGATAGCTTCTCGGATAGGTGTGATTGTGTTAATCGCTTGCAACGGGAGGATGGCGCCTGGTGTCTGCTCATATTCTGAGCATGTTTACATAATTTGGGGTGCGACTATTCCTTGGTCACTCATACAAAATCTTAATAATTCACATAAAGCCTGGTACCGTGTAACGCCTATCTCACGAGTCACAGTACAAAATCGTACTCGTCCAATCTCGTCAAGAAGGTTTGTTGAACGCTCCGAAGCTGCAGTATCACCCTTGTCCGAGGACCCCGGGATAGGGGACTCGGAGTGCAGGGTATGGTGCCTGGACCTCTAGCAGAGTCTATATTCCCACTGCAGTCCTGGAGTATGCGAGGCTGGTACCATTACACCATCCCTTCTTTTGGCTAAGAGGATATACGAGGACTTGGTACCTAGTCTGCAATAGTCAGTTGACACCTCAGGCCACAACGTACTTCTGTATGACCAGGCTCGACAAATGCTGGGAAAGCTAGGTGTTTCAACCTATATTTCTTGGGGCCTCTTAGGGTGTTTAAACACACTTCGACAAAGTGTCATAACCATTCCCATAGATCGTGGGTTTAATCAAGGGTTGGTCTGGTCAAAGCTTTAGAATGTAGACTCAGCCTCAGGCAACCGGCCGGTTGATGCTTCGGGCTGCGGTGTATTCTGCGGAGATTGACAAGCCATAACTCATTAGAACAAACGAGAAACCATTCTATGAGGAGGCTCGTCCTTTTCCGCTCTATTGGTTTCTTTTTTCTTTGTAAGCGCTGGATGCTATTATCCCGACACTACGAGTTGGGCGATGATTGTTGGGGTTACAGGCACTCGGCGATGGCTTCCTGGACATGATTATCTCCTCGGGGTGCTAAGCATGCGCAACAGTTGGAACCGATTGGAGGAAACATACCCAGCGAAGCTTAGATCGTACCAGGCCGATGCAGGGACTTACGGTTACTTACATGTTTATTGACCTACGCGGCGGTGGCTGAAGGACTATCTTCGATCTCACCGCAGGGCTGATGCACGCCCTAGGTAGATGTTGCAACTAAGTTTTTGATATGTGCACCATCTCACGACCATGCAAAGTCGGCGTCACTGATGGACAGACACATTCTCGGTTGGGACGCTGCGCTGCTTGTGCCGGGCGCCGGCGTCACTGCCCAGTCAAGATTCCAATCCGGCCAAAGAGCACGTGCCTCAATGGTCCAGTGCTGTTGGGCAACTAATGTTATTTGTTGCGATCCAGTCCCCGAACCACATTCAAACACCGGCCTGTTTGCTGATTGAAACAGGTGGCTCGCTAGTGTAGAAACTAGACTACAGCCTCAAGTTCTACCAATATCAGTCTCGATATTATAGCCTGGTGGGATAAATTGCAGAATCTATCCTGCTAGCTGCATATTAAGTCAGCCACTGCCGTAGTCTAGTACCCGGTTAGCATCGCTACTCATCTTAATTGGTGACTTTATGAGTTCTAGTCCTTTGCATCGGAGCCGATCGGTCTAGACAGGCGAGGAGAGACACAGGCAACAACCTTTAAGTAGTAATCCAGGTGAGTCAAATATATATAGTGCTCGGCTATTCCGAGATAGAACAAAACCCCGGAGCAGTTTTTGCGCCGTGCGAATGGACTCGGTTGATGCAAGAGGGCTTTTCAAGGCCCACGGGGGCTAGTCGAGTCATTTGCCGGATTGTACACAGTACAATTCAACAGAAGACAGTGCTATATCGAATCTACCAGCCGTGAAAAGAGAAGAAGAATGAGAATGGGACGGCAAGGTTGGTGACGATCGCAGCGGTGCGGCAGCGGGTGGAGAAGAGCTGCAAACCTCGTGTCGACTCGGGCTAAACCTAAGGCAGCAAAGCACCCTGGTTTAGAGCAGCACCTGCTAAATCGACTGGCTGACAATCCATGAGCAAACAATTTGACACTAACACTTAGTATACTCGCCTCTCTGATGCTTTACCTAGTTGAGATGTAGTCCCCTATCTAGTTTACTGGTCAACTCAAACAACACCACTCCGCGCAACCAACTGCCACTTCGGTCGATTAATGTGGCCAATTTACCGTGGTCTTTGTTGCCTTTGAGAGCTGAGGTGGTGATGAATAAGACGCGCCCGGACCACTAATGGAGCCGTGTTATCGATTGCAGTCACGGGTTGACGTCGTTTCTGGGCCCTCCCCCCAATCCATGGCCAGAACCTCGAAGCTATCCATTATCCATCATAGCTCCTCTCCAGGCTCCCTCAACCCTGTCTCTCACTCATCACCGAAGAAAAACTTCTCCATTCTCGTCGCCTCTTCTGGGACTAGCCGTCGTCTATCAGCTTCTCCATTTTTTTTCATCCAATTCTCAGTTGACCGGCCTATTCCTTCTTCGTTCAGCCTCGCTTCCAACGTCTTCTCCGCCTTCCCGCTTTCCCCCCTGCGTCCGCATCATGTTCTTTACCTGACACTTGCCCACCCCATTCTCTTCCTCTACTCTACCTATTCTCTCACCCTTCGCATACACCCAGCTTACTTGGATATCTGCGCGACTCGTTAGAAATATTTCAGCATGAGGTTGGTCCACTACAATTGCTCCTTGGAAGACGAAACCGCTCCACTCACCATTCCACCCTTCTCTCTAGGTTCGGGGAGCACCTCCGATCGTCCATGATCAAGGAGTACTACTGGTACTACATCGCCTACGAAGAACTCAAGAAAGCTCTGAAGACCCGATATGTCACGGAGCCCACTCCCGAAAATGCCAGCCCCGATCGCCAGCCCTGGTCGGAAGACGACGAGAAGCACTTCGTGACGCTGCTGGAGAGCGAATTGGACAAGGTCTTCAACTTCCAGCGGATCAAGAGCGCCGAAATTGCTCGTCGCATCCAGGCGAGCGAACAAGAGGTCAACGATGTCGTCTCGCGCCTTGAGGCTGCCACCAGTGCCCGTTCCGACAGTGTCTCCCACAACCGACCCAACCGCAGTCCGCCCTCAGACGACGATTTCCTAGTGCTCGAGCAGGCCTTGAGCGACATCATCGCCGACGTACATGACCTGGCCAAGTTTACGCAATTGAACTATACGGGGTTTCAGAAAATCATCAAGAAGCATGATGTGAGTGGTCTTTTGAAACCCGGAATGACATCATCCACTGAATGGGACTGTTTTGGAAACTGGAGCGCCCGCTAACGGCTACATGCAGAAACAAACGGGGTGGCATCTGAAGCCAGTATTCGCTGCGCGCCTCAATGCCAAGCCATTTTTCAACGACAACTATGATGCGCTAGTGGTTAAATTGTCCAAGCTCTACGATCTTGTGCGGACCAAGGGTAACCCCGTCAAGGGTGATTCTGCGGCCGGTGGAAGCCAGCAGAACTTTGTCCGTCAAACCACCAAGTATTGGGTACACCCAGACAATATCACCGAGCTCAAACTGATTATCCTCAAGGTAAGCAGCTCACCGTGATTCGTCATTTCCCTCGTGTGCTAATAGGATGAAATAGCACCTTCCCGTTCTAGTCTTCAACCCAAGCAAAGAGTTTGAGGAGAAGGACGCTGCTATTTCCTCTATTTATTACGACAACACTGATACCTGGGAACTATACCAAGGTCGCCTGAAGAAGACCGAAGGTGCGGAGGCTATCAGATTGCGTTGGTATGGTGGCATGGAGAGCGATCAAATCTTCGTGGAGCGCAAGACCCACCGGGAGGATTGGACTGGAGAGAAGTCGGTCAAGGCGCGTTTCTCGCTGAAAGAGAAGCATGTCAACGACTACCTGGCTGGTCGCTTGACGGTGGAACAAATCTTCGAGAAGATGCGCAGGGAAGGTAAGAAGAGCGAGGAGGAAATCGCCAACCTCGAGCAATTGGCGCGGGAAATCCAGTATCGAGTCATCACGCGACGACTTGTACCAGTCACCCGATCTTTCTACCACCGCACAGCCTTCCAACTTCCCGGAGACGCTCGTGTGCGTATCTCTCTTGATACTGAGTTGACAATGGTTCGAGAGGACAACCTTGACGGTCGCCGCAGAGCTGGCGACAACTGGCGTCGCATGGACATTGGTGTTGATTATCCGTTCTCACAACTGCCCCCTGAGGACGTGGAGCGTTTTCCTTATGCCGTCTTGGAAGTCAAGCTACAAACACAGGCGGGCCAGGAGCCACCCAAGTGGATCAGGGAGCTGACAGCTAGCCATCTGGTCGAAGCTGTTCCGAAGTACAGTAAATTTATTCACGGCACGGCCACGCTATTCCCTGACCGCATCAACCTTTTGCCATTCTGGATGCCGCAGATGGACGTCGACATCCGCAAGCCAGCCACCCGCCAGTTTGGAATCACACGTCCGCTGCCCAGCACGTCATTATCCGCGACAGAAACTCCGGAAGACGAGATCTCGGAGGATGAGGATGAGAGCGCAGGCCAGTGGCCGAATGGTGTGCATCGAGTCGAGGCTGCCGATGCTGACCACCATGCGCTGTTCGCAGACTCAGATGGCAATGCGCTAGACATCGAAGAACGCATCGCCGCTCTACCGCTTCCAGGCGACGAGGATTACCCGCTATATGACTCGGATCAAGAGTCATCAATCGACTCGGATGAATTGGAAGAAGCTCGTCGGGTCGGTGGCACATACTACTACAAGCAGCTGGCCAAATACTACACCGAGCACGCCGGCTCTATCTTAATCCATGTCCTCAAATCCCTCATCCCCCGACCTACGCCCACCAGTCTCCCAGCACCCGAGCAAAGCGGAATCGCCGTCATCGGCAACAAGCGTACTGTCAAGCGGTTCCACGCTCCCAAAGGCAAACGTGAGTCTTGCGGCGCCCCCTTTACTTTCTGAGCCATTTCGACCATACAAGAACCACGAACTCTAACACAATTACCAGGAATCCACGTGCCCGTCCGTGTCGAGCCCAAAGTCTACTTCGCCGCCGAGCGCACCTTCCTCTCGTGGCTCGAGTTCTCCATCCTCCTCGCCACCATCGCCGCCACCCTCCTCAACTTCGGCGACGACTACATCACCTTCGCCTCCTCGTGGGCGTTCACCATTTTGGCTTCGCTGTCGCTGATCTACAGTCTGATGCTGTACATCTGGCGCGTTGACAAGATCCGCAAGCGCCGCGACGTCAAGCGCGTGTACTACGAGAAGTGGGGCCCCACCGTCGTCGGGCTGGGCCTGGTAGCCATCGTCATGGTCAACTTCGGGCTCCGTGTCCGGCAGCAAGGGTTCTTGGCCAAGGATGGGCCCGGGGGTCTCGACCTTGACTTCGATGTCACCCCTCCTCATGGTGGGGAGTTGTAACCTGCTACATGAGCTTGGGCACAACACTCTCCGACTGAGTATTTTGGGCTCTAGTAGCTGTGATTTGATGTTATTCTCTGGCTTAGTAGGATGATGACGACGATGAAGAGGCTATATATCATGATGACTTTTTTTTTGCCGGCGAGTCTTGGTTTGTTCTCGTTGTTATGTGTTCTGGCTGATTGATCGAGGGAAGAAGGGGAAAAGAGAATTTCAGTGTCGATTTGCGATCGGCAAGTGTGTGAGTCAGCGATTGGTTGATGAAGTGTATACACCTATCCATGTCATGTGTTTCCCAGTCATTCGTCGCTGCATGTGCATGTGCATGTGCCTGTTTGTTGTTTTTGTTTTTGGTCCGATTGTTGATACCATACTCTGCTATACCACCGTCTGGAGTGACGATAAATTGATATATGATTGGATATCTTTCTTGATTCGCAGTATGCATGGATATGACGATCGTCACATGGGGAGCTCGTCGAGATTGATTCGTTTTCAATGTAGGGAGAGATAGTGGCTATTACAGAGTGGAGAACTGTCTGCGTCTACGGAACCCGTCTACACCGCAGCAGGTCGTAGCTGGAATGCATAAATGAACACTTATTGGTCCAGTATTCTGCCACCATGTATCTCCCCGAGAGCATCGAGGGAGACAGTAGATACAAGAGATGGAAAGCCATCCATCCACCCCGCCTGACAAATCAAGAGTCGAAATCCACCACCGGAACCACCGTGTCCTCCAACCGGACGGCGTGCGGGTTCGACTCCTCCACGCCGGAGTACCGGTTCAACCAACCGAGAACCTGCTGATGCCAGACGAGGCTGTTCTCCTGGTTGGTAACCCTATCGTTTGCATGGATTAGTTCGCGCTGTCGCACAAATTCAAGAAAACAACAATGAAAAGCGGAAAGGGCAAACCGCACCAGTGATCCTCATCCGGGAAGTTCAAGAACCGACTCGGCACGCCGCGCTCCTGGAGGACGTTGAACAAGGCGATGCCCTCGGCGACGTCGAGGCGGTAGTCCTTGTCGCTGTGGACGACGAGCTGCGGGGTCGCGAACTGGAGGATCCGTTCGGGAGCGGAGGGGTCGAAGCGCCGGTAGTTGTCGCGGTTGGCCCAGAAGGTGCCGTTGAACTGTTATGTTGCATGAAGTTAGGGAGGGTTGGCTTTTGATGGGGGACAGGTGTGATGAGAATGGAGGGTGTGTGTAAAGAAGAAAGGGGGAGCGCACGTCATGTTCGATGAACCACAACTCGTCGGTGGCGATCTTCGCATCGGCGACGAATGTCCCATCGTGAGAGACGAGCGCCTTGAGCTTGCGGCCCAGCTCCGAGCCCTGGATCCAGTTGACCATGAATCCGCCGTAGCTGGCGCCGGCGGCGACGCCGTGGTCGGTGTCGATGAAGTCGAAATTGTCGTGGACGTGCTGCCAGGCTTTCACGAGGTCGTCGTAGGGAGCACCTCCTTGGAGTATGGTTAGCATGGTGAGATCCCAAGGAGTGGAGAGAAAAAGGGCCTGGTCGTACCCCAGTCATTTGCGATGGCGTCGGTGAGGGCGTCTCCGAAGCCAGTACTGCCTGTTGGATTCGGGGCGATGACGACGTAGCCCTGATCGGCGAAGACCTTGGGATTCCAGCGCGTGCTCCAGGAATCGGCCCATGAGCCTTGGGGTCCACCGTGGATGTATAGAACGAAAGGATAAGTCTTGCTCTTGTCGAAGCCCTCCGGGTAGATGATCCAGGAATGAATCTGAGAACCCGATCAGTGCCTGTCCGGTGAGAAGAGGCAGGGTATACTAGACTTACCTCGGTCCAATTACCTTGATAATAAAACTCATCAATATCAGCAGAGCTCAATCCAGCAAGCTCGGGATCAATCTCGTTGGCGGATGCCAGTGTCTTGATGACCCCCTGGTCGGGACTAGCTGTATAGATAGCCCAACTAGTCCACATGGCCTTTCCGGTGACAAGGATAGTGGAATATGGCAGGACATGGTACGCCGCTACAGAGCCACCGTCGGTGAAATTCTTCGGCTTGAAGTCATCTCCTGCATCCGCTGGAATAGCGAAAAGCCTGGTTCGACCGTAATCCTCACTTGTAACGACAAGATTGTCTGAATCGACCCAAGCTACCGTGTCTGGCGAACGATCCCAGTTCTTGGCAAGTGTGGTGATGGACTCATTAGCACCGATAGTATAGACGTACAAGGTGCGCCTGTCGGACTCGTACTGTCTGTCTTCCATCTGGAAGTATGCAAGTTTGTCACTGTTCGGAGAGAAGACGGGGTTGCTAGAATCTCCTTGAACCCCAGCAGGAGTGACGGCACTCTTGGGTCCATTGATTGCGACAGCTCTCTTCGAACCATCATGGGGCACAAGATAAATGTAAGAGGTTGTGAGGTTGGCACGAGGTAGCTCCGGGGCCTTGCTTTTAAAAGCTACCCAGTTGCCGTCGGGCGAGAGATCATAGTCCGAGTTTCCTCCAAAGGGAGGATAAGGGCTCTCGGCATTCTTGATCGGGGACACCAGGTTCGTAAGACCACCTTCTGAAGCATAACGACCTGTGCTGTTACCGCCAGCCGAACTGCTCAATGTGCCTGAGAACACAGCATGAGAGGGTGGGGTAAGGTACGTATTCCAATGGCGGATGTAGAGGCTGTCATAGATGCGAGCTGAGCTTAGGGACTTCTCGGCTAGCTTCTCATTGTAGGCCGTGCCATTGCCATAAGCCTTGCCACGAAGAATGAACCGCACATCACCCGAGTCCGTGACAGCTGTCTTAAGACCGAGGAAGTTCGCTGGTAGGGAGGCTGCCTTGTATCTGCATGTCATTGTCAGGTATCATTCATCAACGGTGAACGGAGAATTTCGAGTTTACCCGTTCTGGAAGTCTGCGATATCTGAGATCCAAAGCTCGACACCACCGGGGATGTCTGCGTTGGTACTATTGATATAGAGAATAGTGGAGTCATCCGTGCCAAGCCAGATGATCTCAGAGACATTACTGTCATTCGTGAGAGTACTGGTCTCACCCGATTTCAGGTCAATCAGACTCCACCATGAGCTTCCGGAATGGGTGTCGAAGGAGTACTGGGAGATGGAGAAGAGACCGAGAGCCTGATGTTGTCAGTCCTCTGAAGATCTATGATCGGATCAAGCGACATACTCCAGATGGATTGGGGATGACTTCGTCTCTCCGCGGAGCACTAATCAATTGCCTGCAGGATATGAGACATCAGCAACAATACGATTGTGATTACGCCATGAGTTCGTACTCGGGGGTCAGTGCTGAAGCCGCTGAAGCCGCAGCAAGAATGGAGAGCCATCGTAGAGCTCCCATGATAACGTTGTAGAACAATCGCACACAGGTCGCAATCCAGATTCCGGTGAGAAAGTTCGCGTTGCACAGAACACAAACTAGGAGAGTCAGACAAAGGGGCCTATTTATGAGGCCAAGAAGACCAGGCCGAGAAGACGAAGAGCGAGTGAGTGGTTTGGAGAGTGCAATGATGAAATGAGGGAGTCAGTTAGGGACCTGCCCGATCAGGATAAGCAGCAACAAAAAAAGTGGACAAGCAAGGGCGGGTTGCAAGTCTTGGGTTGCAATGCCAAGTTGATACACATTCCCGACTGCTGCTTGGCACCCTGAAGTGTCTTGCATTGCTGTCATTCACATGGTCTGATTGCTTGCTTGCTAATATTGTGGGTTTATGAGGAGATACCCAGTACGATGCGATGCGAGGCGAGGCGAGGCGAGTGTAACCGATACGTCAGACATCTCAGAGTCATTCATTATCTATGTTGATTAATCAACGGGCTGGAGCTTCAACCACAGCACCTGGACTTCCAGTATGTATGTACGTAATAGATAGGACAGCCAGAACAGCCAGAACAGCCAGAACTCTCGGCTCAGTACTCAAAGTCATCGTCTACTCCCTTCTTAGCATTTTCCTTTTGCACCGCCTCTTGCTTGCGGTACATCTCCGCCACTGCCCGAGTCGTCGTCGCCTCATCGGGCTTCTTGTCGTCACGGCCTTTAATGAATCGTGGGAATCGAAGAGAAATCCCTTTGCCTCCGCCAGTAGTTCCCTCAAACTCGTCGGCCGCAGCCTTATAGCGCGGACTCAGTGTTAGATCAGCAGTCTTGACCTCCCAGACAAAGCGCGGCTCGAACCACACATCCGGCTGATCTTTGGGGACAGTTGAGTGGGAGTAAAACGGCTTCGGCCGGTCAATGACGATAGGAGAAAGTTGTTTATGAAGCTCCTCCAAGTCAGCCTCCGAGAAACCTGTGCCAATGTTGCAGACCGTCTCGTAGGTCTGCGTGCTCGTGTTGTAAGCAGCTAGAAGGAAGGCACCGTACACTGACGTACGCTTGCCTCGTCCGTGATATGCACCCAAAACCACGAGATCTAGGGAGTCGCCGACTCCGGCGAGGTAATCCTTTTTCACCTAGTGGCGTATTTAGTAACAGACACAAATCAGGCTCGGGTCTATTCGACGTACCTTGAGCCAGTTGCGGCTCCGCTTGCTTGGTTCATAACCACTCTCTTCAGTGTCCAGCATCTTCACCATCAACCCTTCACACGAGGCCTTTACACTTTCATCAAGTAGAGTCTGGATCTCATCCACAACGTTGGTATTCCCATACTGCGCAAACTGGAACTCGCCTTCAACAGTCTCGAATGACTCGTGAAGAAGCTCGCGACGCTCTCGCAGGCTCTTTTTCACCGTAGGCTATTGCTTCGCGTCAGTGTCTCGGGCTTGAACGATCAAAGGACAGACGTCATACCTCTCCGTTCAAGAAAAGCAGGTCAAAGGCGAACACGCAGACTTTGACTTTAACATCCTCCGCTTTGACATCCTTCCTCTTGCGAGTCATAAGTTGCTGGAATGGCAAAACCTTCTTGTTCACTGTATCCCAGGCCACGGTCTCACAATCGAGGACAAAGCTAGTGACACCGCCCTTCACCCATGTGTTGAGTTTCGCAAGCACATCGGGATACTTCTTGGACAGATCTTCCGAGTTGCGTGAGAAGATGGAGCTAAGACCCTGGCTACCACTCTGCAATGTCGCCTTTGCTCCGGGGTACTGGTGGACTGAATCGGGTGCAACATAGTGGATCTGAGCTCTCTCGCCATCATACTTATACTCACAGGTAAAGTCTTTTCCTTCGAATCGATCAAGAACCTCCGTAATGGACTTGGTTGGCTTGGCAAGCATGGGCTTGATGGGGATGCCCGGCTGCAGCTTGCAGTGCTCGTGCAGATTCGAGAGACCATGCTCGAGCATCAACGGAATAATAATCTCGTAAGCGGGCAGCTCGCTGTACACAGTCTTCAAGATAGCCTCACCCTGGGCCAACTTTTCGGTAGAGGGTGCCTTCTCTCCTCTGAACTCAGCCTCGTGCGTGACAACGGCT